TCGGGCTCCCTGCTCAGCGGGGAGTCTGCTTCTCCCTCTCCCACTCCCCCCTCTTGTGCTCTCTCACTCTCTCTCTCTCAAATAAATAAATAAAATCTTTAAAAAAAAAAAAAAAACAAGGAGAAAAGTCTTAAAGGGGCACAATTTTCCAATAGGGACAGGGAAAACCAGCACCAAATTTACTAACCTCCAAATGACTTTCCATGGTTAAATACCCAAGTAAGATACCAATTAACAGAAGCAGAACCAAAATATTAACAATTCATATTGGAATGAGCAAAGGAATTAAGTTTTAATGCCTTTTAATGGGCTCATCATCACTAGGCAGTGAATCAGAGGGTATCCTTACCTGGATATGCATTTTAATTATTGCTTTTCCAATCAGAGTTGCACCAAAGAAAGTCCAAAAAGGTACAAGAAAGTGTCCACATGTTATTCCAGCCAGATCAAATAGAGGATTTGGAATCTATTAAAAAAAAAAAGTTAAAATATATAATCCAAGGAACAGTTTAATTTTATCACCTACAGGTATGTGGAATCATGCTTTAAGCCTTGCTTTCATTGCAAAGACAGGTACAGGTTCCCTGATCAATAACAGACTGTTCAGAAGGTTAGGCAAGTATTGTTTCTGTAAGTTGGGTCTCATATTCACTTCAGGTTGCTGTTCAAAGCAAACCCAGCTGTCCTTTTGCTTGTACTACTTATAGCTAACACCCCATAAAAATACTTTAAAAAAAATCACATTAGAATTGGATAAAACCAATGGACCTGCAGGAATTTAATACCATGCAGCAGATACTTTGCCATTTGGTAGCTGTGTTTAAGTTGAGGTATAAATGAAGAAAAAGCCATAAGATTATTTCAGTAGTTACTAGGGTTCCAAAATCTTCAGCTTGAAATAAGAATATTATCTAGAAAGTACTCACATCTATACAGTAAGCATTCTTATAAAAATTACAAATACATTTATATGTAGATGTGCTTTTATTCTTCAACAGAAAAAAATTCATAATTTGTATTTTGCACATACAAATCTCATCATTTGTATGACAGCCCAAGGCTGTGGGGCTGTGTAAATATATTTTAAAAAGAAAATCAAGTGTGGAAATATGAGCACATAGATTCAGATGTTTTGAATACTCAGTCCCAGACAAAGAAGTGATTCACAACAAATACCTTTCCCAAACATTCCCACATTTCAAGAATGCTGAAAGACAATTTCATGTAAAAATGCAAAGAAACCACAAGCTGTTTTTGAGCACTTCACCCATTTTTCTCCCATAGAAGCACTCTGTCCTTGTGGCAGTTGGCAGAACCATTCAGAAGCCAATTAATTTATATAATTTCATTTTTGAACTTTCAAAGAAAAGCCTACTTGTTTAAAAGATATTTGTCACATATGTTCTTTTAAAAATAATTCCATGACTAAATTAGAATTCAAATATTCTTTTGTTCATAACACTTGGATTCAATAACTCAGTTTTGTTTTTCTCATACAAATTCAAATGTCTTATGCAATTTCATCTGTCTTATAATCATGTTAATAACAATACCATTTGTATAGCTTTACATCAATCATTTTTTATATTTTCTCATGTGACCCTCGTAATTCCATGGATTACAATTTTAATTGTTTTCCTTTATTATCAGGCTCTATCTCATGTTGAAATAGAAATTACTTTAAAGTATACAAGATATGTAAAGCAGAGATTAAAAATTAGAATTTCTGAACATGTTGGACAACTCAGTGTATGCTGTATACCCTCAGAAGAGCATAATCAGTGAATTTATTGTTTCATGTGCATGTTATTTATTCTTTTTTTTCAACTGCTGACTAAATACACAGAAAGGAAGACTGGGATTAAATGAACTACTAAGTAGCTTTGAAATGTTCCCTCAACTAGGAGTTTTATTTATCTTAGTTTGAATGTTAGTAACAAAATAATAAACTTAAATGAAGTATATATGCTTTCAACACTTTAAGTATCAAAAATTTTCTAGAAAAAAGTTCCTAGAAGCTGTTGATCTATCAACAAATTGATCTATCAATATTCCTAGTCAAATATAAAGAAGACTGACTAGTATAGAAAGTGGATTTCAGCAGTGAGGACACAGGGATAGATGAGTGCCAAAGAATACTATTTTTTGCTTTAATAAATTGAAGGTACTCTGTGTTTTCCCCAGGAATAATAAAAGCTAATTTTTCTTTTCTTCCTTTCTTTTTTTTTTTTAAAGATTTTATTTATTCATTCGAGACACAGAAATACAGAGAGCATGAGCAGGGGGAGAGGCAGAGGGAGAGGGAGAAGCAGGCTCCTTGCCGAGCCAGGAGCCGGACGTAGGGCTTGATCCCAGGACTCTGGGATCATGACCTGAGCCGAAGGCAGACGCCCAACCAACCCCGAAAGCTAATTTTTCTTGAATGTTTTGCCTTGTTAGGTACTTTTCTAATGTTTCTACATCGTCAACTTACTTAATCCCAAAACAATGCTATATCATTACACTCACTTTACAGAAAAGTGAGACAGACAGGATCGACAATTTATTCAGGATAGAAGGATTTCAGCAGCAGAGCAGGATTTCAACTCAGGCAATGTGGCTCCCATGCTTGTTCGCTTAGCCTCTGAAGTAAGGACATTATTATCCATTAGGCCTCTCAGCTTAATCCCATTCTGCTGACTTCCATGGCACTTTCAATTTATCCTTGTATTTCAATGGTCTCCCTCACTAGACTTCAGGATCCTTGAGGAAAGGGAGTATCTTTCACCTCTTTATTCCAAACACTCAGTGACTGAATCATAGCTGACAAATAACAATAAAAAATGGAGGAACATTTATGTTCTAAGCACTGTGTTAGTTCACATATATTAAATCCTCACATCAGCCTTTAAGAGCAGTGTCTTATTGCCCCTTTTTAAAAATTAGAAAACTAGGGTTCAAAGAGAGTAACTTGACTAGGTTACATAGTAAGAGGCAAAACTGGTTTAGGAATGCCAAAGCCAATTCTCTTTCTACTATATCACACTATAATATAAACTGCTCAAATAATTGAGGTCAATATTATGAAAAAGAGCTTCTACATTAAAAAGAAAAATTAGATTATGAAAATTTCTAATATTGCCAGGGTCAAAGGCACATGTGTATTTTACAGTATATCTAGAATGTTCACATCACATTAGAAATTTTGGCACCAAATGTCCTCTTTTTTGATCAGGTGCTTTGCTAAGGGAGGAGTATTCAAAGATGAATTCACATTCTAGTACATAATGGATAAAGGAGCTGTGTGTCAGTAGACAATAATTTTGTGAATTATACATACAGTTGCAGTTTTTATAGGTGCACCTAGTTATACTGGCCAAATCCACCACCGAACTGCCAAAAATTGTGTATAGGCTACTAAAGAAAACTCTGTTCAAACTGTTCCATTTCAAATATAAATGTTTCTATTATATTAGAAAAGGACCAGGATAAACACCGACTTATCAAGGAATGTCCATTTCACAAACTACAGTTTGAGATATTAGCTACATTTTTGACATACGTGGCTTCTTAGTTCCCTGTAGCCAAAGATGCACTTAACTTTGCCCGAGAGGTTTCAATTACCTTGATAGTTGTAAGTATCCCTTAAGACAGGTTTCATATGAATTCTTCCTTATAACTAACGCTTGAAACTCTGGAAAAAGACTACTTATCTATAACTCTGGAAAGAATGAAGTCATTGTTATTTGGTTAAATGCACTTCATTTGATAAATTCTTCATGGAAAGGAAGAACTTTCTCTCTTTCTTTTTTTATCTCTTCTATTCTTACTGAAACAAGCCATTTAGGTCCGAAGTCATCAATGGCAAGATGAAATGTTTAAAGTCAATAAACAAGGTATGAACCTATCCAACAGAAACAGCTCATTTGATGAGTAAGATGAATGATTAATAAAACTACATACTCATTAAAAGTGATAGCATTTTTGTTCACTCAAGTGTGTCATCTTTATTTTCTCCTAGTGTGCTATCTTTAAAAACAAATTGGATCAAAATATAAATCTACCATTTATTGGAAGTTCTCACTTTTAATACAATTCACTTACTGAAGCACAGGCCAAAATTCCAAAAAATCCAACCTTCTGTACTAGGTTCTGAACTGCCAGTTTAGCCCGGGAAGCAAAGTCCTGTATAAAAGGAGGATAATCAAAACATTAATGAAAACATTAATGAAATGAAGAATGAAAGATGGCTCTTTATAAGATTTATAATATTAAATATCTCATAACCTGATTCACTTAATCATTGCTTTTGATGAATGATTTTTAAAAAATCACAGAAGGTTGAACTAGAAAATATGCAAATAAAAAACTTAATAGAACAATTATACTCTTAAAGATAACGTTTTACCACAATTCAAGCATAAGCCAAAACATTGTTACTTTATTTTTCAGATTATCTCTGGATTATCTAGGGATGAACAAAAGGTTATAAACTAACTATGAACCAGCACATTCTTTTTTTTTTTTTTTTTTTAAGTAGGCTCCACACCCAGCATGGAGCCCAGTGTAGGGCTTGAACTCACAACCCTGAGATCAAGATCTGAGCTGAGATCAAGAGTCAGACACTTAACTGACTGAGGCACACAGGCACCCCAAACCAACTCATTCTTTCGGAAATACTGACCTATCACATTTGTCTCTTTCTCTTTCCTTCTACTACTTGCCAGACTCACTCCCTGATTAACATCAGGGTCAAAAATCATAGGATTTTTCAAGACAGCCAATGAAGACCTCTGCTGATCACCAGTCAGATGAAAAAAATAGTTACGTGGCAATAACTGAATAAGCATTTACTACCCCCCAAAGCAAAACGCATCTTACATTTCACAACTTGTGCTAGTTTTATGAAATATTTTCAGAAACATTTTACTCGAGCCTTTCAATAATCCTGCAGTGTAATAGAGCAGATCCTTTAGACTCTGAATCAGTGCTCTTTTTATTTCACTATGCTATCTCCCATGCTGAAACATGCATTTGGCGGGCTAGCGTATTTCCATGACTTTCTTTTTCCTTCATGTTGATACTACAATTATATATATATATTTATATATATTTTATATATATATATTTTATATATATATATATTTTTTTTAAGTGCCAATCTGGGGATGCCTGGCTGGCTCAGTTGGTAAAGCATGGGACTCTCGATCTCAGGGTGGTGAGTTTAAGCCCCAAGTTGGGCACTGAGCTTACTAAAAACCAAACAGAACAAAACAAAACACAAACTCCCTCCAACTTACTTGCTGAGGATGGTGAGAAAGTCAAAGGAATTAAACCAATAAGGTATATCTTAAAAAATATTAATAGTTAAGATAAACACTTTCAAGTTCAAATATATCGGCTCTCAAAGTCAATCATTAACTAAATTCTACAATGCAGTTTTGTAACGTTACAATTTATTTCCAAAGAGAGAATTTTTCTTTTTGAGATGTCTTCCTTCTTCAGTAAGTCAACTATAATCAGATTTTATATATAAATATAAATATAAGTATATATATACTTATGTAAAGTAAGCTCTACACTGAATGTGGGGCTTGAACTCACAACTCTGAGATCAAGAATCACATGCTCTACCAACTGAGCGAGCCAGCCCCCAAGATTTAATATTTTTAAACAAATTGATCTACTGTAACAGAGAGAACTTCCTATTTTTATTCAGATTTCTAATTAAAGATTAATTTTCTTCTTAAGCCAGCATCTATTGCATTAAATGTGAAACACTGATTTTATTGATTTATTGATTTTTTTCTTCCATGAAGATATAAGTGTTTTCTTATTTATTTTTTAGTTAGTGAACATACAGTGTAATATTGGTTTCTGGAGTAGAATTCAGTGATTCGTCACTTATACAACACCCAGGGCTCATCACAAGTGCCCTCCTTAATATCCATCCCCCTTCTAACCCATCCCCACCCACCTCTCTCCATCAATCCTCAGTTTTTCTCTATCGTTAAAAGTCTCTTATGATTTCTTTCCCTCTCTTTTTTTTTCTTTTCCCCCTTCCATATGTTCATCTGTTTCCTTTCTTCAATTTCACATATGAATGAGATCATATAGTATTTGTCTTTCTCTGACTGACTTATTTCCCTTGGCACAATATACACTGTATATTGTATTGGCACAGTACATTGCAAATGACAAGATTTCATTTTTTTGATGGCTGAGTAATATTCCCATTATATATATATACATACTACATCTTCTTTATCCATTTATCAGTTGATGGCTATTTGGGATCCCTCCATAGCATGGCTATTGTTGATAATGCTGCTATAAACATTGTGGTACATGTACCCCTTCAAATCTGTATTTTTGTATCCTTTGGGTAAACAGCTAGTAGTGCAGGGCGCCTGGGTGGCCCAGTCGGTTAAGCATCTGCCTTTGGCTCAGGTCATGATCCCAGGGTCCTGGGATCGAGTCCAGCGTCAGGCTCCCCGCTCTGCCTCTGCCTGCCTGCCACTCTGCCTACTTGTGCTCTATCTCTCTGTCAAATAAATAAAATCTTAAAAAAAAAAAAACAAAAAAACCTAGTAGTGCAATTGTAGGAGTGCAGGGTAGATCTACTTTTAACTTTCTGAGGCCTCTCCATACTGTTTTCTAAAGTGGCTGCACCAGGGGTGCCTGGGTGGCTCAGTTGTTAAGCATCTGCCTTCGGCTCAGGTCATGATCCCAGGGTCCTGGGATCGAGCCCCGCATCGGGCTACCTGCTCCGCAGGAAGCCTGCTCCTCCCTCTCCCACTCCCCTTGCTTGTGTTCCCTCTCTCGCTGTGTCTGTCAAATAAATAAATAAAATCTAATAGTGAAAGAGGGTTCCCCTTTCGGGCACCTGGGTGGCTCAGTCGGTTAAGCGTCTGCCTTCGGCTCAGGTCATGATCCCAGGGTCCTGGGATCGAGCCCCGCATCGGGCTCCCTGCTCCGCAGGAAGCCTGCTCCTCCCTCTCCCACTCCCCTTGCTTGTGTTCCCTCTCTCGCTGTGTCTGTCAAATAAATAAATAAAATCTAATAGTGAAAGAGGGTTCCCCTTTCTCTGCATCCTCGCCAACTTCTGTTGTTTCTTCTCATCTTATTGATTTAAAAACTGTTTAATATATAATGAAACCAGTTTTCCTATATATGTTAAAACAAATTACACTTCCATTTATTTTTAATAATTTACACAATCAATCCCCAAGTCATTAAACTGTAATTCATTAGAAGCACTAAATAAAAACTGGTAAGCCATAATGAATAGACATATTTTGAGTTTTAAAAATATCAAACAGTAGTATTAGAGTATAAACGAGTTATGAAATTTTAACTATTACAGCCCAAGATTTAAAAATATAAATTCGGAAAAATGCCTTCCTTTACAGCCCTTGCTATCTTCATAGCAAATCCATCTTTTTTTTTTTTTAAAGATTTTATTTATTTATTTGAGACAGAGAGAATGAGAGAGACAGAGAGCACATGAGAGGGGGGAGGGTCAGAGGGAGGAGCAGACTCCCTGCAGAGCAGGGAGCCGGATGCGGGACTCGATCCCGGGACTCCAGGATCATGACCTGAGCCGAAGGCAGTCGCTTAACCAACTGAGCCACCCAGGCGCCCCATAGCAAATCCATCTTAATGAGTGGTAAGATGGTACTCAATTGCTAAGAAAAAGTAAAACAAAGAAAGTCTATAAAAATTTTATTTTAAAGACAACACACTTTTTATAAATGTATTTCCGAAGTGGGACATATGTGGGAACACTTTTCTATCTTACCATTTATGTAGTCCCCAATATGTAAAATTACAGCAAAAAAAATATTTTTTCTTGCATAAAATAATACAGAAAAGATCAACAAAGTGTTTTATTTCAAGTTTTGTGTCCTGGGTGCCTGGGTGGCTCAGATGGTTAAGCCTCTGCCTTCAGCTCAGGTCATGATCCCAGGGTCCTGGGATGAGTCCCGCATCGGGCTCCCTGCTCCTTGGGAGCCTGCTTCTCCCTTTGCCTCTCTCTCTGTCTCTCATGAACGAATAAAAATAAAAAATCTTTAAAAAAAAATAAAGTTTTGTGTCCTGTTTTCTTTTATCTTAATTTAAAAGCTTTAGAATCTTTTTCTTTTTTAAAAAAAGATTTTATTTGTCAGAGAGACAGAGAGCACAAGCAGGGGGAGTGGCAGGCAGAGGGAGAAGCAGGCTCCCTGCTGAGCAATGAGAACAATGCAGGACCCTGGGATCAGGACCTGAGCTGAAGGCAGATGCTTCCTCGACTGAGCCACCCAGGTAGGCATCCCTAAAGGCTTTAGAATTTTATATTTATTTAAACCAAGAACTATGATACTGCCATCATTTAAAACTGATTTTTTTTTCTATTATAATGACACATACACACACACTTTTTTTTTTTTTTCCTTTTTCTTTTAAAGTAAGTTCTATGCCCAATGTGGGACTGGCATTCATGACCCTGAGATCAAGAGTCACATATTCTACCAACTGAGCCAGCCAGGCACCTCCATACAAACAGATTTAAATTAGAAAAGAGGTATGACTATACCAATTGGCTTATATAAAGAAAAAAAGATTAGGGGTGCCTGGCTGGCTTAGTCAGTAGGGCATGTGACTCTTGATCCTGGGGTTGTAAATTTGAGCCCCGTGTTGGGTGTAGAGAGCACTTAAAAAAATAAATAAATAAAACCTTAAAAAAAAAGAGAGAGAAAGATTAAACATTATGCAGATCACCTAATATACAAAACAATGAAAATATTTAAGCCTACAGAAGTTCATGGAATCACCACATTTTTAAAAACATCCTGAAAGTAAAAACATCCTGAAAATCATTTTAACCCTCTGGGGCAGAATCTCTTTACTCAACAGAAATTAAATAAGAACAAAGGAAAATAGACCCCTTGTCCTTTCAGATGCCTGGGTGCCCATTATCAATTATCCTTAAGGGTACCGTAAGAATTTTCATTTGAGGGGAAAGAGTTACTTTACCTAAATAAATGAAGTAGAAACCTCTCTTTAACTTTTTTTTTAATTAGTTTTTAGCTTGCATGTCTTACAAGGAAAAAAAATTAAGTGGCTTTCTAATGGGAAGTTTTACTTTTTAAAAAGTCTGAAAGTTGTCTATTGAAAATGGATTTCATAAATCTTATTATGTGTTT